CAGCACCGCGGTCACCCCCCGCCGCGGGGCAGGGAAGGCCAGCAGCAAAGCTGACACTCAGTGAAACATCTCCAGCGCTGTCCCTTCCAGGAAAAGGCATCTAGTAACAACACTTCCTCCCCAAGGACGGCGTGGTTTGCTGCCTGATCGAGTCTAGTGACAGAGAGCAGGAAACGAATAGGTTATGTATAGGGTCAAAGCAAAGGTGCAAAAGGTGTCGGCATAAAAAGTCAACTGTTTCTCGAAACTGAGTTCTTCAAGCCACCGTTCCTGAGCCCACAAACTGCATGCTTGCTCTACACACACATACAGGCCCATCGACTTCAAACTTAAACTTATAACACAAAATTTGCATCAAGGTTTTGAAAAGATTTGCACAATCGTTACAGATGACACTAGAGAAAACAAGAGTCCTGTTTGACTCGGGTGTGCATCCTGTTTGAACTGCAAGAATGAAATCCTATCCATCGTGTCAGGTGCCTCAGCTCCGACGTGAAGATGTTAACTTCTCTCTGATACAATGAGCTAAAATAGAAAATAACTTTTTACAGTAATCCTGTTTCAGACGCTTAACTCACTTTAGGCTGATTTTAAGCCTAGTTTGGGGGCGAAGTTAATCTCTTGGTTCCATATTGCAGCGTGGACAACAAAAAAGGTATGTCCAGTTACACTGGGTTACTGACTGGTGTCAGGGGGTGAATTGAATTTGGCTTCTGAGCTGAATGCTGTCCCAGTACAGCTTGTGTACAAGCGCACACAAGATTTACAGGGTACTTTTACAATTAAGCAAACAAACAGTGTTTTGAGGATTTGATTTTTAAAAGCATTCCCATAAAAAAATTAAGCTGATGAACTGAATATGAACTAACATCTCAGTGAGGACAATAAAGACGTCAGTGTGTAGGTGAACTTACAGCATTTTCTGCTGATTGTTACAAATATCTGATGTTGATGTGCAACTAAATATTTTACATTTCATATAGCTCTTCCTCAAGTTATAAACAGTGTTTGCCCTGAAGGTAGCTGGGTGGAGGAAATGTGAGAAACCTGGAAAACAATTTCAAATCCTTTTATCCCCTGTTTTACTGGCAGCCTGAAACACGTTTCAAGTGCATCTGAATCAGTAGCTGTAGGCATGAACCCTGAGGTAAAGAAACCGGTTTCTTAATGAGGTTCCAGAAATGGACAGCTTTCTGTGCCAGCTGGTCTTTCTAGAGGATGCGCAGGCTACTTTCAAAAGCTTGCAGTTTTAAGGTACAACTACCATTTTAGCTATAATAAATACATCCTACTCTTTTCCTTCAGGAGGAAGGGATGAAAAATATGGTATGTCTTAAAGCAAAATACACTCCATACCTAACTCCACAATGCACTTGGAGGGAAAAGCAGTGGGTCAGGGCCTGGTGCTAGTGAGCTTTCAAGCGAAAATGCAGTAGGCACAGAATTTTAAAGCAGAAAGACATACGAGAGACAACCTTTTTTGTATGGCGTGTTGCTTCCTTCTGTTCTTTCTCCCCTGTAGTCAGAGACTGGGATACTTCCTGCTGGCTGCTTTATCCTGTAAACGTCTGCTCCGCAGACACAAGCAGTGTGGCTTTCCGATAGACCTGCTTTTCCCCTTCCCCAGTTCCTGACATCAGTCACAGTATAATCCCGGTTATCGCTCAAGGGTCCGCCAGCTGTGGGAGTGTGACCTGGACTGCCAGGACTGCGGCAGGTGTCTGCAACAACTGCAGTGACAGGCTGTACAGATGTTGCAGACACCTTAAATAGAAAGTACCAGGGGATTCCAAATGTGGGAAAAGGTTCTTCGGATGACACAGAACAATTCTGTCTTTGTGATTACTGTACACAGAAGCTGGAGTGGCTCTGATCCTACTTAGTAGTTACTAAACTTTGAACCTGTATTTTCTTCTGTATGTTTTTCTCCTGTACTTTTTCTTTTCTAGCCTACCTTGACCATTCTTTTTTCTGTCCTTTTCTTACCCGGCTCTGCAGCTGATGGAGCAGAAATCAGCTCTGCCTCATTACACAGTGACCTAAAAAGCCAATAGCTTGCATCAGCAAATCAGCACCACCTGCGCATCTGCCTAAAATAGATTAATGAATTTATTAAAGTTTTGAGGAAGGGTTTGTTTTGCTTCTGCTATTGCATCCTTTATTTTTCATTGTAGGTCAATGCATATATATAATATTCTTTTTTTCATAAAGAAAAAAAGTTATTTTAAGACAAAACACACTGATTTATGCTTATGCTGCCCATTCTGGATAACTGAATGCCACTGAAATCTTGAACTGGGACTATAGATCATAGTACAAGAGGATGCATGTGGAGGAAAAAAGACACGTCTGAGACAAACAAGGAGTCTCGGTTGGTTTAACTTGCTACCTAACTTCTTCAGATTTACCATGACTGGCACCAAAGAGAGTGGGAGCAGTAGATCTCCAGGGCCAGATCTCTTATATCCAGCTACTGAACCCATTTCTGTGATCCAGAGCAGTCCTTTTCCTGTTGTCCATGAAGTCATGGTTAAAATTCATAGCTAGTTATATACAACTTTTACATAAAAGAAGGAAATAATCATATCTGAATGATCAGATCTCTTCTGGAAATACGTTGTATGGCAGTGCTTACAGAACATAAGCATCAACACCGTGTACCTGCTTCTCATGCTTATCCTCATTTACACTGTGGATCCACTACTATGTTTCGTCTGTTGACACTGTGCTTTTTGTAACAGAGAACTGAGTCTTGAAGGCCAAAAATTCCTGTTAATCCTCGTCAGTATCACAGAGCTTAGAGCCAGAGGCCAGAACCTCTCCTGAATATTGACAAGAGGACAGTAAAAGAACATTATGGAAGATAGAAGGGATTTGGTAGGGAGGGTAAGGACCGCGCTGATGGAAGGAAAATTGGAACCAACCTACTATATCATCAAAGAATTGGATAAATAATACTCAAAAGATGCTTATATTCCAAATGTACTACAAACACTTGTTCTTTTTTAAAGAAAAGAGGTAAACTAAAATCCACTGTGTTGCTTAATAATCATAGCTCGAGTATGTAAGTTGCAAACTATTTTGTAAAAGTTATTTCTTATTAAAAGCCTTGCTTTTCCTGTACAGTAAGTAGCCATTGCTAAAGAGCTGACTAGAAAAGCTGATTTTGAGAGAGGAACACTGTTGTTCACTTGTAGATTTTCTTAAAAAACAGTAAAGCATAAAAAATAGTAAGCTCACAAGCATAAGTTAAACTAGCATAACTCTCCTTCAGTAACTTCTACCATACTTCCGAACTGGTGGAGCTGTCAGTCTGTGACCTACGATGCACTCTCATACACGTTTTGAGGGATTTTAGAAACATAGCCCAAATAAAATAAAAAAAAAAAAAATCACTATTACAATTCTGTTTGGGTGTGTATTGTTTTGTACACATGTATGCACCCAGCGCTGATCCTCATCAGTGAGTGGTAGCTGAGCTGGACGAGGTGCCGAAAGGAGCTGAACCGTTTGACCAGGAATGCTGGGCGAGGATTCCGCACGCTAACACAGCTCACCCGCCTCCCAGACCTGTGCTTGCTCAATCTGCACAGTGTTGTGTTGCGCCACAAAGGCCAACCTTCAGGATATAGTTTCTCATCTAATTGAACCGGCGTAAAACAATTAAGAATTTCTGTCTGCCCTGCCCTGTACCACAAGCTGCCTGCTAACAACCTCGTGCCAATACACCTGTTTCCTGGAGCTATGCTTGAAAAAATGCAAGCGATAAATTCCTTAGGGGGGGTCTGGGGATGATACTTGTGGATTATTTGCAACCAGGGCATGTTAGTGTTTCTCCTTCCCTCCACTCCCTTAAAAATGTATAGGAAGAACTGAAGAAGCAGTGAACAGGCTTGGATCTGCTTTGTCCTGGCTTTACTGCCTAGCTTGGCTGTCTATGACTGTAGCAGAACTCTCTCAATAGTTTCTTTGCTTCAAGTTAAAGCCAGCTGATGATAGTTTCCTGATTATGGGGAGGAAAGGGAACTAAGCTTTCTCAGTTTATTCTGAAAAATTCAAGGAGGTCCTAGCACAGAGAGTAATATCCAGGATGCTTCAAACAGGAGGCAACAAGTTAATGTTCATCATCAGAAGGGTTCTGCTGTATGTTTACAGCGAGTGTTGAGCAAACCACGTGGAAAGGCAATGAGCCAAGAGCTGCTACAGCAGCTTCGATAGCACTGTGAAGTCTGAACCTTTGCCTTAAACCACAGGTTCAGTTTTACCGAGAATTTTTGCTGAAGTCCCAGCAGTTTGCTGAGATGCAGTTGTGTTGCTTGTGCACTACTCCAGGCAGTAGCAGTGAGGATCACTCATAGCAATAGTGTGACTCAACACAAGATTTGTCATTTTGAAAGAGCAAGAGTACATTTTAGTCATCTTAACAGTCCCACTTGGTTTCTAGACCGGCAGCTAGTGACAGGACGCTCTGTAGTGGAAGTATGTATCAGCTGGGCAGACTTATCTGAGCTCGTTGAGTGCTGCAGACAAAGTCTAAGTATAAACTAAAGCCAACAAACTCATGATTACCCTCTCTCTCTAACAGCATCCGAGTCAAAACCTCAAATACTCCAATGTTCCAGTTCTACCTGAAACGGGAAACGAAAAGTGAAAATGAAATGCTGTGAATGACTGACTTCCCCATACGAACACTAGGATCATTAATGCTTTCCTTACTAAATCACATAGCAGTAATGTTAGTAAAGTCCATATAACGTAGCTACACAGATATCAGTGTCATTCCTGTTGATACCATTTCTTAAGACTTTTCCCCTCTTTTTTTCCAGACTGTTCTTCAGGGGATTATTTTGCTACCCCTCCGTGCCATATGCATTGCATTCATTGTATTGCTAGCGTGGCTCTTTGCATCAATTGCAACTTTCCGTCATCCTGGAAAAAGATCCATGCCACTTAAAGGATGGAGAAGGTAAAATGTGACCAATATTTGTGAAAACTCTGTGCTTGTTTTTTTTTAATAACACAAAGCCAGGGTGCAAAGCTTCCCCCCCGCCCCCATCATTCCTTTCCTTCTTTTAATTAAAAAGGAGTCCTCAGTCAAATCTTAGTTTTACCCATTCAGGTGAAGCAACTTTTTGATGAGTGTATTTTACAACAATAGTGCAGCTTTTTAAATGGGTAAATTATCAATTGTCTTGAGGCTGAAACAGCTCTATATATAGACTATTTGTAAGCCAGGACTTATTTTAGTAATAATACTGATAGTAATATTTGAGAAGAGAAACTCATTAAGAAAAGTATTTGGTAATGTTACGTAG